AAAAATCATTTTTGATTATGATTAAGATTAGTTGAATACCTTGTCCAAGCCAGAAGCCATAATTAGAAAGGCCGAAGGTCCTTGATGACCTCTCTCGGTTCTAGCACTCGATCTGTTTATCGCTTGCAACACGTCATCCCCTTCCATGCGTCCTTCGTGAAAACGGAAATCCTCTCTGCGTATTCTGGATATCTCAAATGGGTCGCCCATTGTTTCACCTGAAGCTTGAAGCTTCTCAGCGTTACTGACCAATCTGGCAACAGCGTTGTCCAAGGCAATCTTTATTATAATAGAAAAAAAATCGTGTTACATTATCACAAATAATAATTTATCTAATGAACAGTGCACAGTAAAAGACAAAAAAAAATATATTTACAGAATATCCACTACCAGCCGATAAATGAGCATGACCGGTTAATGTAGCCACTGTAAAGATATGAGGATTCACTGAACAAAGTGCCATTTCTTTGATATGATAAAGCGCATCTGCCATAATCATTCGTCCTTCGGCGTCCGTGTTACCAACTCGTACTCTAGCACCAGATTTCGCAGTTATAACTTCATCAGAAACGTATGAATTTTCACCAACGCTGTTTCTGACCATGCACAGGGCGACTACCACCTTTACCGTTGGTGGTTGTAAAAGATTTACCACCTGACGAATATTATTATCTTTGTATGAAATTTTTCATCGATAAACTTTTAGTAAGAGTTATATTATAATAATAACTTTTTTTAATTTTTTAAATATTATTAAAATATTGCAAACCTGCATAAATCCTGCACATGCAGCAGCACCGCATTTGTCTCTCGACATTCCGTTCATGTTACCTTGACATTTAATGTCTGCCCCACCGGTATCGTAAGTGACACCTTTGCCAACGAGCATTACAGTTTCTAGGACACATGCTGGATTCGGTGGTTCGTAAGTTAGGAAGATGATCCTACCAGCGTGACGTGGTATTACCGAAGCTGCCCGATTAACGCACGCGAAAAGTGGATACTCTTGTAGCAAGGTATCCTGATCGGATATCACCTGCATTGTCACGTTCGAACCACAAAACAATTCGGCCACGTATTCCTCAACCCTTGGCGGTGCCATTCTCTCTGGATCAGCTCCACCTATTTGTAAAATTCATCAATTTATTTGATTATTCACGTACCAACAATATTACCCCCAATATTCTTCTACTTTTTGTTTTTTCTTTTACTTTTCCAAACGATCGAACAAATCAAATTTTTGTTATCATTGTTTCTTCCCTCCTCCCCCACACCCCACACCTTCGAACATATGAATGAACGAGAGTAAGAAAACAAAAGGGGGGAAAATTACACTCGAACAAAATTGTTCGTTCGGGTTTTTTTGCTCGGCATCGGTTAAATCTTCCGATTGGATGCGCACTTTCGTTCGAATGAATTTTTTTTCTCTCTTTCTCGTTACCTTTTGTATACTTCGTTCTCGTGCGAAAGGGCAAATATTTTTTTTTTTTGATTAGACGTCGAATCATATACGATTCTGAAATATACCAAACGTATTTTACACGTTTGTATTTTATTTTCTACTTTTCTTTTCTTTTTTTTTGTCACAACGTACGCAAATAAAAAGAGAGAGAGAGAGAGAGAGAGAAAAAAAAAAGTTACTAGACGTTTAGAAATTGTTCATTTAATTTTGTATCGATCAACTTGTATATTTATTTGTAACAAATTTAAAATCATTCGTAAATCGATTAATCTATCGATCGTTAGTGCAAAGGTTTAGATAAAAACATTGAAAAAAAAAAAAAAAGAAACGTTTACATTTAGGTATTATTTTCATCTTTAAGTGAAAAGATAAAAACCATTAGATTTGTTATTTTTATTCTTGACTCTGTCAGAGAGGGTTTGATTTAAATTCTGCTTTTTGAAATCCCGTGAGATAAAGTTAAGGTTTACTTTACAAAATTGCATTATTTTTTCCTCTCACACGCTCTTATCAAGTAACAGAAAAAAATACAATAAGAAAGGTTAACGTTAACCTATCCGAAAAGGAAAGAAAGAAAAAAAAACCACTTGCAATCTCAATCCTTCTTACTATAGACAATTTTTCAACGTAGATTCGATTGGAAAAAAAAAAACAAACAAAAACAAAAAAACTCAATTAAGTAGCAAAATCTAGGATCATTTTTTACGAAGGATAACTTAGAATATTTTTGTCAAAGCTTATATACTCTATCTATCGAAGTTTTTACATATAGTAGTAGTTCGAGAATGAAACAAAATGAAATGTATATTTCATTTGAAAGAAAATGGAATCTCTCAATACACAAAAAAGAAAAAAAAAGAAAAAAGAGTAAGATGATTGATTTCATAACGAAACACACAACATCGAACACTTCGTATGAATAATAAAAAGAATAAGAAAAACCAAAAAAAAACACAACTAAAAGTAGTATAAGAAAAAGAAAACTCGATCGTACGAAAGAAAATTGTCTTCTAGTAATCGAAAGAAAGGGATGAATCTTTTCCTGTCTTTCGTATATCTGTTGAAATTTCTACTACGAAAAAAGGGAATCAAAAAAGACATCTATATATGTATATATATATACATCTTCTATTTCTTAAAGAAAAAATAGAAAAGTTAGTTGGGGGAAATTCGTAAGAAAGAAGAAGAAGTCTATCTGACGAAAGAAGGGATTTAGTAGTTGATGCATTTGCTCTTGGCTATGTGATCGGATGAACTTTGTTTCACCCACCGATGGTAAAAGAAAAAGGTTAAGTAGAAAGAGAAAGAAAGAAAGAAAGAAAGAAATAGAGGACTTACCGATATCCCTTGCGACGAATCTGCCACTTTCCAAGGCTGAGGCTAGCTTCACTATACCCTGGAGCTTTTTACTGCAAATCGGACTCCATACTGCCAGTTGACAGGCCTTGTAGCAACGTTCGGGACATATCTCTCTCACCTCGAGGGGCTGCAAAATGTAGGTGTTACTCGTAGTAAAAGAACACAAAGAAATAAGAAAAAGTGATTGAGTGAGAAAGAGAAAAAAGCAAAGAGAGAGAGAGAGAGAGAGAGAGAAAAAAAAGAAGAGTTTTAAATGGCGTTCCGATTACGCGCAGTTGGGATTCCAAAAGCGTCTTCCGGTATTTGGAAAACGATGCATCCTATTCGTCCTCGTTTAGAACTAGAGTGGGGGGAGGATAAGGGAGTGAAGAAGTGGTTGGAAGGAAAGGAGAAGAGAGAGATAGTGGCCTAGGGATAAAAAAAAAGGCTACGAACCCGACGAGGGTTGCATCGTTCCTGGCTAGGAGGGTTCGGGTATTTCGCTAATTAGGTCGCCTAGTCGGCCGCCAGGCTTCTGGAATGCAAGTTATTCGCTCGTAGCTTCTCCTACGAGACCTTCTCATACCTCTTTCTCTTTTTCCTAACCTTTTTTTACCTCTTCCCCTTCTTTATCTTTTAACTTTCTTTTGTTTGATCATTCATTTTCATTTTCATTTTCATTTTCATTGGTTTGTTTCTTAATTTGTTATTTTAAGGCTCGCGTTTGTAAAAAGTATTTTCTTTTAAATGATATTATTAATGTTTGATTTCATTTTTTTTTTTTTAATATTTTTATAGCATAAAATGATATTAGAATAATTTTAATTCGTACCTTGAATGTGTGTCAAAATGGTTTTGTTTTAAATTGATTTTTTTGTTTTTTTTTGATGGAATTTTTATAAATTCGAAATAAACACAGAAGGAAAGTATATTTTATCAATTTTGTAACCTATTTTTTTTTTGTTTAATTTAATATTTATTAAAATGTGCCTTGTGTGGGAACATTTTTGACATTTAAATAATATTGAGAATTTTGTTTTTATAAATACTCCTTTTAAAAAAATATACTTTTTATATAATGTGAAATGTAAACGGGAAAGAATTTGATTCCTTGTATAATATAAACCATTGACAAAAAAATGTATGAATGTGTGTGTGTGTGCGTGTATAATATTACGTAGATTATTAAATTTCTAAAAGCCATAATAACTTGATAAAATATCATTGAAAAATTATACCATTCAGAGAACTCGTCCGATCCAATATTATATATATTTTATTATTTTTTTATATTTTTTATTAAATTTAAAATATCAATTACAACGTTTAACAAAAAAAAAATTGTTATTATATTTCATAATATTTTATTTTTTTATATTACTACCCCATTGATAAACGTTCTAAAAGGTTTAATATTTTTCAAATTTAATTCGATAAAACACAAGAAGGTTGGTATTATATATATATATATATATATATATATATATTTTTTTTTTGCAAACATAGGAAAAGATATGCCATGTAATTTGTCTACTTGTACCTAATCTGTCCGATATACGAGGCAAAAGCTTTGCAAAGTGGTGGTGGTGGTGGTGGGTGGTGGTAGTGTTGATGGTGATGCTTGCCCAACTCAGTTGGAGGCAAAAAGTTGGGCACATTTTTTTTCAACGCGTAAGCACCACCCATTAGTAAAAAAGGTAACATCCTACGGGGCTCGGGGATGGGAAAGAATAATGAGTTCTTAAAAAGTAATCTAAAACGTTGGGAATAAATAATTTGACAGTTTATAACAATGTTTAATAACGTCCCTGTAATTGTGAGAATCTTTTTGAAAAAAAAAAAAAAAAAAGAAAAAGAAAGAATCTCAAAGTTTCTCATACCGTACGTAATATCGTACAATTAATCATATTAATTACATTTATTTATGTGACCAAAAATTACAAATCTCAATTTATTCAGTTGGAAAACTTTTATAGAACGTTTTGTTGGTTGTGCTGTACTAATTTTAACATAGTTTTGATATATATATATATATATTTTTTTTTTATAAGGGTCTTCTCTTTCCTTATATGTTTCGAGTTTTGGTAAAGTGGAAGTAATACAACGTTTAAAAAAATAAAAATAATAATAAAAGAGAGAGATGGAGGGGTGAGTAAGAGCTTGTTGAAAGTTTAGCTTAACCACTCTCGAGGCTTTTAACAGTGCAGTGAAATTTTTCGAAAGTTTGTTAGCTCGTGCGCACTCGTGAATAGTGGCTCATGAAAATATGCGTGCGACCACCCCATCCCTCTTACCCCCTCACTCTCTCTACCTCTCACGTTATCCGTGACTAATATTTGCATTTAGTTAAGTTTTAAACGTGACCGTGCATTTAAACATTCTCGACATTCGTATCCATTCATTTGAGATTTAATTGAAAAATATCGAATGGGAGGTGAAAGAAAACATCCCGACGTCCAAGATAAACAAAAAAAAAAAAAAA